ATACATGTATTTAGATTTTACTATACATATTTAGGAAAACCTATGCATTTAAAATTAGTCGGCTTTGCCGCAGATAAAAATAAAAAGGTCAGTTCTTGAGTTTAAACGGGAGAGTTAATTAGCCTTGAATTAAGGTTGTAATTGCTGTTGGAGTAAGCGGATCGCAATCCGCTACATTCGTAATGGTTCTTGTGAAGAACATAAGGTCGGTGACCTAAATTACGCTTTCTCTAAGCGCAAAACTACGGCAGCCCCACTGCACTTGGGTAGCACTTGTAGTCAATCTACACCTGAGTCGTTTAGACTGATCCTCTGTGAGGATGACACAATTTTCCTCTTTGCCCCTGGGCATGCAGGACGGGCTTAACAAGCTGATGTCCTTGCTGGGCCCTGAGGTCGTGCAACACCTCGCTTCGCAAGGGCCTGAAGCGCGCCTAGAAGCGGTTTCAAGCTATGCAAATGCTCTGCCAGAGCAACTACAGCGGAAGATGTCAGCGTGGACTGCGTCCATGACGTCGCCGTCGGCGACCGATGAACCCCCTCCCTGACCCAAACCGCTCATGGTGAGTGTTGAGACCTTCACGGGCACGGATGGAGAAGATCTCCTGCTCTGAGTAAGAGTGGCCGAGAAAGTCCACCATGCTCCAAACCAAGCAACAGCGCGTGGCGCTAGCCATCTCCAAGCTCGGGAGTCGAGCGCGCAAATAGGCACCAACGTGCGGTGTTTCGGTAGAAGCGGCGTCTCCCTCCTGGATGGAGCTGAAGCTTTCACGAGTGTTCACGCCGCCTAGCCAGGCATATCGCGTGCGATCGCGTTTCCTTGCCGCTCGACACGGCAAGAAGGAATTGGTGGACTTTGTCCGAGAGCTGCATACTCTCATAGCTGGGATGGCTGCTAATCCTCTCCCCGAGGCGGTCACAGTGACCGTCTTTATGGAGAGCCTCCGCACTGGCGTAGCCAGAATGGAAGTCTTCCGTGTTCATCTGTCTTTTTTTGTGAAGCGGTGAATGTGGCATTGAATGCCGAATATAACTTCAAGTTGGCGCGACTTGGTTGGAATACACACCTCATAGCTAGTCGAGCGGGCCTGAGCCAATGGATTTCAGCTTTGCTGAGAAAGAGGGGGGAGATCTCCGAGCTACGGGCAGCGTTTAAACACCCGACGGTGTTTTGTCTGTGGAGACACTCGTCACCTTCGGACTGGTTGTCCCCTGTGCAAGTGCGTCAAGGGTCAAAGAACCGATATACCGCTTCTCACCAGTCTTAATTGTCGCGGAGAATCAAGAAAAAACAGTAGGCGCGGGGCGGCCTACTTAGGTAAAACTGAGTTCTGTTGTGCTTATAGGAGGTAGAGGTCAGCAAGGCCCAGCCCAAAGAGCTTCGTGCTCTTGAACACGGAACGTGTATGTAAGCCGGGCTTGCTGGTCGTAAAAGCGACCGTGAGGGCTTCGAAAATTCATGGAAGGTCCTTATCGACTCCAGGGCGTCAGGCAATTAAGCTCGACGCTCCACGCTGAAAGAAAGTCAGAGGCGCTGAAGGCGCGGTTGTGTGACATCATCACTGTTCTCTCAGCGACGGGGAATTGTGTCACTATGCTGAGAGTCCCGGTGGACCTCGGTGCCAAGTTTTTTTAATTTAATAGCGTGAAAAGTTGCTTAGTCTTAGACTTGGATTTAAGGTACAACCCCAACCTTGGTTTGGCATGGTTTGAACATCAAGGTCCATGGATCGACTACACGTCTCCTGGTGAAGCTTTGGTGAGTCATCAATCCACCTCTGCTAGCAGGCAAAAACGCTATTGGCGCGAGCATTGGACCGGGACAGTCAATATGCTGGATATCGGAGTATCCGACTCATCGAGTCATCGAACACCAAAGGTGTTTTGGACAGGAGCCCTGAGCATGGCCTGCGGGCTGAACGTGGAGTGGCACGTAACCCACTGAGCGCTGCTTCAGTATACAAGTAGTCATTGCATGCAACGAATGGCATGGTCGGACAAGGTCCGAGGCATCAAGGGCGAGGCTCTTGTGATGCACTGATCCTCTGTGGGAATGGAACAATTTCCCTCTTTGCCCCAGGGCATGCAGGACGGGCTTAAAAAGCTGATGTTTTTGCTGGGCCCTGAGGGCGTGCAACACCTTGCTGCGCAAGGCTATCGGTACGCGTCTAGAGGCGTTTTCAAATTACGAAAACGCGCTGCTAGAGCACCTGCAGCAGAAGATGTCTGATTCATTTGCGTATATGGCGCCACCGCCAGTAACGGATGACTTCCTCCGCCCTAAGCCGCTCATGGTGATCGTTAAGGTCTTCTAGGGGAAGGATGGAGAGAATCTCCTGCTCTGGGGGAGAGAGGTCGAGATGGCCATCGCATCCGCCATGCTCCA